GTTGGAGTCTGCAGTCACTGAAGCAAGCAAGCCTCCCTGCTCGCTTCAGTGCATGGCTGCCGGCCGCCATCTTGGCTGACAGTTAATTTGCATAAGGATATGCTGATTAGCCAATGGGAAGGGTAGCGGTCGTATGCTAATTACCATGTTTTTCTTTTATTAGTGTAGATTCTTCATAAGTGTGAAGAAGTTCCCTTCTATCCCTACTCTTTGAGAATTTTAATCAGGAATTAATGTTAGATTTTAAGTAAATATTCCATCTAATTAATAATTAAATTATTTTTATTGGCTGTTAAAATTGTGAATCACATTTATTAATTTTTAAAATATTAAACTAACCTTGTATTCCTTATATAAACCCCACTTGGTCATGATGTGTTACTTTTAACATCTTGCTGGATTTGATTTCCTAAACTTTTGGTGAGAATTTTTGCATCTATGTCAAGGAGGAATAAATGTCTGTAATTTATTTTCTCTTATGTCTTTGTCTAATGTTCATCTAAAGGTAATGTTGGCATCATAAAATGAATTGGAATGTTTTCCCTTCTCTTAATCTCAGTGATTGTGAAGACCCTGAGATGGTAGAAGACAATTGGATCTTAAGGAATTAATCTTTTAAAAGATAGCATTTTCTCTAATTGAATTATTTTCTTACTTTAGTGTGCATGAGAAACACCTGAAGATTTTATTTCTTTCTATTATTTTTAAGCATATCCTCAAGGAAAGGGCTTTTTAAAAATATACATTTTTATTGATTTCAGAGAGGGAAGGAAAATGAGAGAAAGATAGAAACATCAATGATGAGATCGAATCATTGATTGGTTGCCTCCTGCATGCCCCCCACTGGGGATCAAGCCTGCAACCCAGGCATGTGCCCTGACAGGGAATTGCACCTTTACCTCCTGTTTCATAGGTTGACACTCAATCACTTTTCTTTTTTTTTAATTTAATTTAATTTAATTTAATTTTTTCCACCACCATTGAAAATTTTATTTTGAATAGACATTTTTATTCAGAAGGTCCAAAGTGGATCCTTAGTTGACATTTACAAAGAAAAACAAATATCCCCCAGTTGTTCTCTTATAGTAGATCTGTGTTCTGAGGGTTCCTAGGCTATTCAGTGGTTCTAAAAACATGTTTCACAGACCAGCAACATCAGAATCACCTGGGGATTTTTTTTAAATGCAAATGTTCTGTCTCCACTTCAGACCTACTCTGGGAGGGAAAGTAGGTGGCAGTCTGCCCTTCAATAACTCTCAAGGTGACTCCAATGCATACTAAAGTGTGAGAACTACTGCATTATGTTAATAAGAACGAATCAAAAGGAATAGAGGCACAATTAATTTTGTATATTTTGTGTTGTACATCGAGATTATTTCTTTTATACTGACTTCTTTTTGTGTGTGACAAATATGAAAGATCTTAGAGTGAGGAAGGAGGGTAAGTCAGATGTTTGAGTAATGTGGAGAATGTATGGATAATCTTTAGAAAAATGGAGAAGCAAGCTGATGAGATAGTTAGCCTCTATTGGATGTCTGCTTCAGCAATGTGATTGTCAACCTTTATTGGTGTCTACTTTCCCAGTTGTGCAATCTTCTCTCCAATTCTGAACTATTCAAGGTAGAGGGGTGGAAAAGGCAGTTTCTTGGATTTGTACACAGTTATTTTGCCAAATGAGTAAAGGGGAAGGAGAAAAGGATGCAGTAGTGAGGGTATTTGCAAGAGAATAAATGACTGTAATCATGCACCAAAGTCTGAATGCTGTATAAGGAGAGAAATGAAGATAAGAGGACAATAACAGAAGAAGGTTCGGAGATCTATGGGTAAAAGGTCTTGATGAGATGGAAGAACTGTTTCAGTAGACATATTTCAGAAAATGATCTGGGAATATAAATAATAATGGCTGAGCAGTGAAATGCTTGTTTATGAATTCTGTTGTTTTTATGCGATAAGAAGCTATAAGATATGGTCTTGATAACAGCAATTGAGATAATAGAGATGCCAGATCATGGATATTGAGGAAGTCACAGAATGGGTGAATAAACATTCACATCCATATTGAAGTTCTTTTTCATTAGTGATGCCAATCATAATCGTGGGTGAATGACAGCCAAAGACCAAATAATAAATGCAGTGGCATCATAAAATAAATTGGAAGTCATCACTGGCACAAGGAGGCTCTGATGGACTCACATTTGTTTCTGTAGCAGATTATTTTGAACCCAACCATCATTTCAAAAAGATATGCCCCCTTGTGTCCTAACGGCATGCGATGTCTTTTGATAAGATACATAATTGTGATATGTGAGTATGAGTTCTGACTTAGCCATGCAAATCAAAATGTAGCAATCAGCTATCCTGTAGACCACTGCCAACAAATTGCATGCTAATAAGTTCCTCATGTTTTCCCTATTCATGACAGGATCAAAAAAGTTTGCTTTGAAAGGAGATACCAGCTTAAAAGCACAAGGATGAAGATTGTCTCAGCTGTGCCCTGCTAACATCCTTTCTAATTTCTCTTTTCAAATTCACAGAGAGTGAAGACGTTTATCAAAGGCAGGTGCTGTCAATTTCATGCATCATCTTTGGAATTGTCATCGTGGGCATGTTCTGTGCAGCATTCTACTTCAAAAGCAAGTAAGACCATTCTCTCAAGTGTTAAAAGGTTACTTCTCAGAGGAAGCACTTTGTCTTGTTTAAGTTCTCAGTCTTTGCTCCTGACAGTGGGATCTTGTAAAAACGGGCCCATCCAACATCTAGAGTAACTTAGAATTTTGTAGCCTGTGGTGAGTGTACATGCCACACTTGCATGGATGTGTGTGTGGTTTATGTTTGATGCACATAGCTATCATCCCTCTCTGTGCTCATAAAAACTCTACATTCTTTGCACATTTTGATTACCTGCCAGAATTAAAGTCTCAACATTTGCCTGTGACTAAGGAGTTCACACTCTTGTGACCAGAGAGGTCACACTGCTGTAGACCTAAACATTATCAACCAGTATCTATTGTTTTTCTTTAAAAAATCTACATGTTTTCTTTCAATAGTGTTTTTACATAATACTCATAAAGATTTTAGCCAAATGTGAAATATGAAAAATTATAAAATCTATTTTAGTTCCCCAGCTGGTATACATATCTCGAATATGCCCTATACTTTCTTTGCCAAAAAACCAGACCGTCTGCACATAAAGGTAGTTACTTTTGACTAATAACATAGGCTAAAATATACATCCATATATGGCTATGTAATTATATATGTATATCTACATATATCTTTATTTTAAATAAACTTTGGTAAAGGTATTTTAATTATGATAATAGCATAATAAAATAGGAAATACAGATAAACAAACTATTTTTTGGTTTCTTGTAAGGCACGTAGGCCTGAATAATTTGGCACCAATTCTGTCTCTATAGCGTGTTGAAATCCAAACCAACGCTTCATTGCTTTTCATTGACATATATTTTTCTATCCATTTGTTCTTCTGAAAATGGACCAATTTCCATATATACTCTATTATACCTGTGTGCATATATGTTGATCTTCAGAAAAATAATGGAAACTCAGGTCTGAATCCAGAATTAGAACTATTATGTTTTAATAAACTAGTTTAGAATAGGTTTAGGTTTTCAGAATTACTGTGAGAGAGTACAGAGATTCCATACACCAGACTCAGTTTCCCATTATTGCCTTATATTAGCACGATGCATTTAGTATTGATGCAGTATTACTAACTGAAGTTCATACTTCCAGATCTCTTAGTTTTTACCTTATGTGCTTTTTTGTTCCAGGGCTACATCCAGATGCCACATCACATTTAATTATTACATCTAGGCAACTCTTAGCTGTGATGTTAGTGGGTTTTTATTTTGTGCTTTTGTGTGTGTGTTTTTTATTGCTCATTTTATTTTTTTGCTCATTTTGTGTGTTTTTTTTATTGCTCATTTTATTTTTAAAAATTTTATTGAATTTATTAGGGTGACATTGGCTAATAAATTTTGCTCATTTTGTGTGTTTTTTTAATTGCTCATTTTATTTTTAAAATTTTTATTGAATTTATTAGGGTGACATTGGCTAATAAAGTTATACGGGTTTCAGGTGTTCCTGTTCATTTTAAGCACTTATTCTTTGTCAGAGACACTGAGCTTTTCATGTATTAGCTCCCAATCCTTATGACAACTGGAATTGTGTTATTGCTGCATTTTTTAAAATATCAGGATTCAATTTTAAAATATTAAGTTGTCAAAACCACACAGTAGAAAATTGCAGATGGAATCATTTTTTTTAAATGATTTTTATTATTTTTCAATTACAGCTGGCATACAATATTACATTAATTTTAGGTGTACAGCAGAGTGATTAGACATTTATCCCTTACCAACCACACTGAAGTTGCACTGTTCTAGCTTCAATCACACGCTTTACACCAACCACACTGGCTCATAGATCCTTTCACTGGGGGTGAAGCTGCTGGGGGTGAATGAGGAATGCCCTGCCCTGGTGCAACCCGGAGCACTTTTTAATTTTATCTTTTCAGGGAGGCTCCAGGGCACAGCGGCTGTGATTTTACATGTGTCCAATTCTTCAGGCTGCCACTTGCTTGTTATGAATTCTTAAGCAAATTACATCCAGTCCCTTACCTTTGATTTCCTTTTTGGTAAGATGGCCAAAATATAGCTCCCTTCTAGAATGTGTTAAGGATTAATGGGATAATATTGTCAGAAGGACACCACAGAGTATAAAAGAGTAAGTACTCAGTGGGGCTTGCTATTGTTCACAGCCCCCTTTTCCACTCCGGAATGTAAGGGCCGGGTAACCCCAGGCGAAGAGTGCGCCCTGGAGCAGGAGAC